GTTGGGCTTTCTCATTCAACATTGGAGTCGTCTCACAGTCATTTTATAAAGAAGTAACATGTACCAGACAGAGATCTGTAGGGCCGTAGTTAATCCACCATACAATCCAAGCAATGTCGTGCATATGAAGGCGATATTATTTTGCACCGTATAATAATATTGACACATCGATGGGGCACATAATTGGTAATAATTAGTATAGTTACCTGAATAAGTGACGAATTCCACCAAGTGCTCGTTAAGAATCGACCCAATGTGAGTCATTGGTGCAAATCGAGTGGCACTAGCATTGAATTTAGAAAAACTACTACCCAAAGCTTGATTCAGCTGATTCACGGATAATTCATCAAAGAAGCACTCCAATGTCGAATGAGAAAGACCATCAGGAATTGAACATCCAACGACAAGGCCTAAATATATGAAAAATATGAAACTATTCTGATAGTTTTTTGAATAACTGTAACTTTGAGATGTTCTTAGACAGTTGAAAAGCTCCATTTTTATTGATAAAATCTTGCAAGATAGCTTCATAAAAGAACTTACCTGGAAATATAATTGCAGTACCATTGGAATCATAGAAGATAGGTGTTTTTGTACAATTCGATTTGCCACTTGCACAAAAACAGTCGCCACCATTTAATGAAACCGGGCTTGATCGAAGAATATAGTTTTCATCAACACCTGTAAATTGTGTTTTCCAACTTGTCATATATTGATTTTGAAATTGATTTGCTTGAACCATATCAAATATCGACTGGGAAACACGATCCAGTATCGCTAAATTGTATGCCACCATTCCACTCATTGACGTATTCACTGATTTTTCAAATGTTTCTAAATTCATAGCTTGCGTTGATACCAAACTCGTCTGATTAATGTTTACTAATTTTTTTTGAAAACTGTTGACAACATTCGAACATTGCATTAATAGAGCTTGAAATTGTGGCTGGATTAGGTTCCAGCCAGATTCATTCCACACCATGTCTGTGCTTGCTGCTAACGAAAACCCGCTGGATGAGATGGGTGCCTGTTCGCAGAACTCATGTAATTGATATGAAAAGTCAATAGTATCAATATAATTAATAGTTCCACTCGTACAAGGGCATGATAAACTACCATAGAAATTCGACTGAAGGAAATAAAAGTAACTCATATTTGGGGATTCAACGGTTAACAGTATAGTACGATGCTGAAACCCTATTGAAAGTGAGATGATCACAAAAGATAGGACCAGTAGAAAAAGATAGATTCGCGTTCCCAAGATTTGATATTCTACTCGAGCCTTTGTTTGGTAAACATTTATTTGACGAAGTTTTTCTCCGACATAAGTCTTTATCACACGAAGCCCGAATGTACCTAGATAGAATTCAATATAGATAAACATAAGAAGAACAAGGATTCTCACCTCTTATCCTACGATGATATAAAATATATAATTGATAAATACTATAGATGAAAGATGGAACGAGAAGACGAAGAATAACAGTCAGTCCTCCAATGAGACCAAGAACTGAAGTAGCAAGAGCAACTGGTTTCAACGTCTGGTCGAGTGTGTAGGTGCATAGCTCTGGTTGACATTCAGAGAAGTATAATTCATAATCTGCAAATTCGTTCCATTCATTGATAAAAGCAATAGGTTCAATATCTGCAAATGTATTGTTGGAGCGAAATGATATTGAGGTGTGCGGATCAAGTGCTTTTATATGACTTAAGTTAAGTGGTTGGTAGACATTCTCGTAGCCGTAAAGACGATTGTCAATCAGCATCTGGACGCAAGATTGCTGATAAAAGCATTCCAAGTCGGCAAACACGAATTCCCAAATTTGGCAACCAATTTGAAGACCAGGCACTGTTTGAGAGTTAGTGGAACTTACTGGTGCACATATATCTCCAGAGCAATAGAAGCCCACTAAATCAAGACACAAATCCCAGGCGCAAACACATGGATAACCAAGGGACGTGATGATAGTGTTTGAGATATACCCTAGACTCCATGTATTATCTACTTGTTTTGAGATTGTCGCGATATATATTGAATCAGAAGAAATCCCAGCACAGGTTTCCATATTCATCTCCACGAAAGTGGACTTAAGCATAAAAGTGATCAATACCTAAATTTGAAACGAAGATAATAGCATTGAGCTGCACCCATTTAGGATCCTTAAAATAGATTTATCTACACTCTAAAAAAAGTAAGTTTATTACGAAACCCTCACAAAAGGTTCCGTAGACTTAGAAAAAGCCTCAAAATGTCTTCTAATGTTAAAATAACGAGTTTTCAATTTCACGGAACCTTTATAGGACATGATTATGGGCACCCATCAAAACCCTGTTCTGCAGAATTCCTTTTTGAGTTCTGTAGTGCAAAAAAATGGCTTCACGGCAAATTGCAAAATCTTTACAGTTTCGTATAAAACTTGTATAAAATCATTAAGGTTTGGTATGAAACCAATGAGCTTCCGTATAGTACTGTAGAGGTTCTGCAGTTCGCTCCGGAACCACTTTTTGCACTACCAAACTCAAAAAGGAGTTCTTCAGAACCGGATTTTGATGGTGTGCCCACAATCAGACCCTTTAAAGGTTTCGTGAAATTGAAAACTCGTTATTTAAGCACTAGAGGACATTTTGAGGCTTTTCTTAGTCTACGCAACCTGTTTGAGGGTTTCGTAATAAACTTAGTTTTTTAGTGTAGGGTTTCTGCATCATTTTTTTTTCATATATTTTTTACTATTACCCTTATATAATCTCTGCGAAATACATGAACCTCGCAATAAAAAGTATCGGCTCATCCCTAAAAACGTTTTTGAACCCGAATAAATCGTTGAGGTCGAACAATATAATTTATTATAAGTAAAATTTTCAGCCTCTTTATATACCTGTGCAAATAGTGTGCTATTCCACTCCAGTGATTGAGCATTGAACTCCATTTGATTCAGCGGTTGTGCAGAGAAGAATTGCTCGGCATAATATATATCTAGCATTTTATTGACTGTTGTCATAGCAAAGTCACAGTATGTCCTGACATAATTAATGAACTTCAGTCCAGTCTTTCGAAAATCTGGCCAATCAAACGGTGGACTGCGATCGACAGTACCATTAAAAAATGTCATTGTCCAATATTGCAGCCAAACAGGGTCTCGAACAAAAGCACTTGTGCAAAATGGATGAAAACTAACATTATTGTACATGCATGTTGAACGCTGTATTGATGTACGAGTACACGGACACGACAGAATAGATGGATACTTCGAATTCAGTTGTTGAAACTGTTAACTGCTAGGATTTCGAATTATGATTTGTTGTGAACGTGTTTCTGATGAAGTGTAGATGATCAAAACAAAAACACCAGTCATTAAAAGAATGATATAGACTCGAGTTGAATAGATACCAACTTGAACATTAGCGAATATTGTTTTGAACATATTCAATGTAGTTACTTGTAAATAAATTTTTGCAACTAAGTTTCTTACCTGACCTCGTAGAGCTGTCAAATTCAAAAGAGAAAGAGGAAATAAAAACTCACTGAAACTTCAATCGACTTTGCTTGTATCCTGCTCATGATGCTCATTGGTTTCCAATATTTCCACTTGTTGGCGACACTTACGTAAAATGAATTTCACAAACAAGGGAGACATGGTCTGAAATATCACACTCATTCCACCATAGAGACTGATCAGAGTTGTCATCATATAAATGAAATTGAATCTTTGTACATACGAATACGAACAGGCTTTCGGTGCACATGTTCGAAAATATTCACTAAAATTAGTGAAACCTTCTTAAGATTCAAGCATTAAGTTCTTGAACATAAGTTCAATAGTAGTTGTTGGAAGAAATCGCGAAGAGCTTGACATATTTAATGGTGCAACTGTGGTAATTGCTGCAGTCAATGCAACAAACATATTCAAACATGATTGGTAGTACAAGCATTCAAGTGTTGATTGAAGTAATGCATTTTGTGGTACACATCCTATTTTAAATCCTGTTACAGCAAATAGAAGTGACGCATCAGGTAAAAAGATTTCGTTTGGAACAATGCTCATCGAATGATTATAAATGCCTGCAGGATAAGCACAATTACTTGTGACATCACATGAACATGTTCCATTTGATATGAACGATGACTGATCTAAATTGGCTTGCGTTGGATAGACAGTAGGGAAATTTGTATAGCTATTGCTACCAGGAATACTTATGGTATAGAAATTAGTACGCAATGCAGACGTATATTCATATTGGTCTATAATCGATGATATGAAATGATTGTCCGCGTAAAACTCGGCAACAGTAGTTTTATTCAATTGATCAATTGATGCGGCTGTATAGGTATCGAAATCAAATTTCGAAAGAGCATTCAGTGTTATGAATTGTGTCGAAAGAAATTGTTCCTGTGCATGCAACACAGTTTCACGTGACATCGTGCACAGCACAGCGAGGACTTGAAACTGTGCCGAAGCCGTAAGACGAAAGTCGAGAGGATGATAACTGCTTGTATTCTCATTGAAGAGAGAAGAAAACCATTGCTCAGTGATAAAATCACTCGAACACACTTCATGGAATCGAGAGTCTAAGGAAAAAAATTGTTCATACGAAATCGATACTTGGGAGCAACGACAAGTAGGTGTTGATTTGTATTCATTGACAAAGTTATTGAATTCATTGGGAGATGGCAAAACCAGCGTAATCGTACGGGTTTGAGGAAGGAGAGCAGTAATCGTGAGTACAAAATAAAGACTTATTGAAAGAAAGACGATGAAAATACGGGTAGATAAAATTTGTTCAGCTCTCGTCAGACTATCATCGTGGTCGTAAAGATTGAAACTATTGATCAGATGAACGAAATGATTTCGAAGTCGAAGACAACTATTAGTTTGATTGAATATCTTTCTAAAAGTTCCCTCCTTTATTTCAGAATGGAAGATAGTTCACTATTTCTCAGTTTTTCTTGAAATAAGAAGTTGTTATAAATGTTTAATTTGCATTTTGACTCATGACTTTTTTTCATTATATATTCTCAATTGCTTGTGTCTTGTATCATATTTCAAGTGTTCTTAAGAAAGCAGTTTTCATTTCACATATAATGACTAAATTTTTTTTTCAAAGCCGTCATACTTTCATAAAAATAATAATTATTTTTCTTTATTATGACCTATACTATCCTATTTTGTTGAAGAAAGTAAACATGAATATCCAAATGTACCCGTGATTCTACGTAGAAAATAATTATTGAAAATTAAGCTGTATATTCTGCTGAGGGTTCTTGATGATTATGTCAGACACGTCAGATGAGTTGTTCGAAGGCAATACGATACACTGTTGAAACTTGGCTTACTTAGGTTCTCAGACATTTTCCCATGATATTTCGTGAAATGATTATTCTTACGGAGTTTTAGATTTATGCATTCTAGCGTAATCAATTTAGAATTGCTTTTTTTTCTTTTCTGCCATCAAGAGTATAGCGGAAAGAAAGTCATTCGCAAATGTTCATACTTTATGATTGCTTCAGCAACAATGAAAACCATGCATCTTTCAAAACAGATTCGTAGTCGAGTAAAGATCAATCTCTGGGCATCCGTTTGCCAGTAATGATTCTTTCCTCATATCTAGAGCACTTGCTTTCACCGAGTCCGATTCCAAATGAAACGTAATGCGAAAACATGATTGCGAGAGGGTTTGCTTTTCTCATTATATATTTCTCTTTAAATGTAAAAGCACTGCGCAGATTGTAGCCAAGTTTTTCGCACAAGACATCGATCTAGTGATTCAGTTAATTACTCTATAAAAACATACAATGACTCTCTTACTCACTATCCTGTTTCATGTTGAATAGAGTGCATGCAGTCCTCTTAATCTCTTTATCTAAAATATGTTCCTGGTTGATTGGTTTCTCTAAAAATACAGAGTGATTGAAAAGTAATCCTCTACACTGTAAGGGTGTGGGTGTGGAGATGGGCTTGGCCGTGCATGTTTGGATGTAAAACATCAACATCCACAGGCACACGCACACGCACACCCCCACCCATTTGAATGGTATTTTGAATCTATCAAACTTTTGTCGGGTTTTCACGAAGTATCTTTACTTTTTAGGATGTACTGACCGACTGAACACTGGACAAAGAGACGAATTTCCATCGAGAAGACTTAACCTTTCAGGATTGAGAACAGATTTTTAAAAATCGATAGAATCTTTAGAAAAAGTTCCAGCTCAACAGGCGCACTAGGATCGATGACGAGCGCATCATCCTACCAGCTATAGATCTCTCTTCATTCATCACAATATTTTGACATAAATAGGTGTGCATCGTCTAAAGCACTTTTATCCTTCAACCATCAATCAAAATACTTTTCCAACTGAATAAGCAAAAACGAATTTTTTTGACTTTAACATTCATGGTATGTGTTGCTTTCTTTTGCATAGGTTGAAGGGCTATACTTGAAGCATGCCAAAGAAACACGCTATACCGATCTTTTATTTGTCTCTCATTGCAACGTAAAAGTATTCTATTAGCGAACAACACAGTTGAATTAGTGTGCCCACCGTCACACAGAGTTTCATGAATCATTGATTCAAAAGAAAGTGTTATATGCGATAGTCATATGTAGCGAAATGAGAAGAAAGAGAAATATGTTCCACATTGCATTGACTTTTTTTCTTTGCTCTAAACAAATTTTATAAAACATAGTAAATCAATGTCAAAACTGTTAGTGTTTGGACACGTTCATGTCATTTGACGTATTTTAATAAAATATCTGGTATTCAGTTTTCAGAAAAACAAATCATCAAAGTGCAATTGAATACCTTGACGTCGATCAAATGATTCGTGATTCATCCTACTCATCGATTGGGTGCATAGAAAATGATGGTACAATGCGTAATTCGAGTTACAGTGTAGTGGGTAGAATTGAGAGCGATGGAACTGTTCGTAATGCATCGAACTGCACTCTTGGAAGTATCTCAAGTGGTGGAGAGATTCGCAGTGCATCGTCTAGTGCAATAAGAAGAGTGGAGCATGATGGCACGCTTCATGATTCGAGTTACAGCACAGTGGACAGAATTGAAAATGACGGTACTATTCGCAATGCTTCGTGCTCAACGATCGGCTACGCACCTGGAATTGATAGGCAGTGTGTTGCAGTTGCGTTTTTCTTATTTAATCTGTTTTGTAGACGTTGAATCACCTTTAGTGATAATTTCTTTGTATTTGATTTTCGATATTTTCTTGAAAAATATATACTTTTATAAGTGTGAGAATTCCCAAAAATAAAAGACAACATGTTCAGAAATCCCTCAGGGTGTGGCTGTGAGTGTCAGTGTCGGTGTATGTAGGTGGCGATGTCGCCCTGGATGTGTATATTTACCAACATTTGCATCCACTTTTATCCACACCCACACCCCAAAGAAACTCAAACTGATTTGAAAAATTTCCTCATCAGTGGATTCAAAAACTTTGTAAATGAAGACAATTATCTTAGAAACTGCTGAATAAATCGTATACACACAAGAAACAGTAAATTTCCCTTTAATTTTGGGCTTGCCCCTTTTAATTTTAGATTTAGTTCTATTATATCCTTCAATGACTTAAAAAACTATATATTGTTTTTTTATTTATTAACTATTCTTTCTCCATCATCTAGATGCAAATACGACATAGCAGAGTATAGACCTATGGTGTATTATTGAATAAATTATTTAATGAAAATACTTCATTTAATTCATCTTCTGTTCTTCTACGTGTACGACGAAACCATTGGTCACGCTAAGTTTATTCGAAGTGTGTAGATCTCCAAGGAAAGATATTTTTACCTTTGTTTGCATTATAATTTCAATGTTTTAAAACTAAAGGACTATTTCTGCGCACGAAAATGTAATTTTTTCTGGCAAAGACTGAATGTTGTGTAGGATCGATTTTTTTATTTTCAATGAAGTATGCTCCTGTAGATTCGTTTTTTTCCTGGTTTCACCATCTAGCGATAAAATGTAAACTGAAGCTATACAGAGAGATAAAACAGAAAACTTTTGTTGTTCTTTTTTCTCTTTGTATGCATAATCCAATAGACCTTTCTGACCTTCTCAAGATGCAAGTTTATTCAATCTCTGAGTACGTCTCTAAGAAACGATACAATCAGGGACACAAAGTCATAATTTTAAAAATCATTAGTTTTCTTTTTGCAAATCAGGAGTTCGTGAAGAAATTTTTCGAAACAAGAAGTTTTTTCTTTACAGATCAGGAGCTTCTTCCCGAGCTTTCCCTAATAAAATGTAATTTTTTTCTCGTCCGCACAAATCTACTTTCGAAATCAACAAGAATTGCGTCATTAACAGCAGTTCTTATAAGTCTTATATCGATAATGTTCGAATGACTAATGGCATTCTTAGTGTTTTTTTTCTTGGAATATGATGTTAGCACAGCTACGGTTACTTTTTGCAATGGCCAATCAAAACCTACAAGCAATCATTGCAGGTTAAGTTTAATTAACTTTATATTCTCGTAAGAAAGAGTGGAAACGAGAAATGGAAGACCGTTCTCTTCTGGGTTTTGGCGTGTGACGTTTAACTCTTGTTATTGCTGATGATATTGTGCTAGACGATTACGATGCCGAAGATGAAAGATTTCTTTTGTCTTCGAAGCTTGTATTGACAAAAAGCGTCACTAATAATTAAGTAATAAAAAAAAATTAGCGCCGAATCGCAAAGCTCAGCTCCTGCTTTCAGAGACTCTCGTCAAAATCAGGAGGTGTATTAACTTTGGATACAATATTTTTCGATGACCTACTCGATCGAAAAATTGAAAGAGAAAGTCTTCAATGCTGAATGAAATTTTTACTTTCCTTTCATTTATTTGAAGTTTTGAAACCCCTGATTAAAATGAATTCATTCAATTCAATATTCGATACTGGATATGAAGTCAATGAATAGATGCTTGGAAAATACGATTGATTTTCTAGAAACATTCTTGATCAGTTCATCAGTGTCTATCACATCATATATAAAGAGAAGAAAAGTCTTATTTCACTTTTCATTTTCACAATACTAGCAACTGTGTATGTTACACTTGACACATTACTTTAGAAAATTATACTAATATAAATAGTGAATATATAAATTTTATAAAAATTGATTGAGATATCGCTTATGAAGGCAGACTGAAATGATTGAAGCGACTCTGTATATACGACATCCGTAAACGAAGAATAAAGCAGAGATCGACAAACAAAATGGTATATTTCCACAGAGAAAAGACAGGTGAAATGTAAATGTTTGACACGATTATCATGAATTTCTTTCCTTCTAAATGATTTTTTAAAGTATTACATTTGGACATTCTACCGATTGACGCTTAAATGAATCAAAGATTCAGTATTGAAGTTTCGATACTCAGAACACGTGAAAAGATATTTTGAAAAAGCAAATAAAATC